ACTTCATTGAAAAAATAATAATAATAATAAACAAAAANNNNAAAAAAAAAAAAAAGCTAAACAGATTTCTTGACATTTTTCGTAATAGTTATATGGAAATTGGTAGGGAGGGGAGCTTTTAAATAAATTGCTTGGTATTGGGTCAGAGAGGTATTGTATCGAACAAGTCAAAGTCCTTAGAGAGACATCACTTAGAGCTACAAAGTTTATAGTACATATTTCTTGACATTATAATATCTATATATATATATATATTTTTTTTTTTGTAATCCAAATTAAACTTAGATATACTTCAAACATAATGAAATTGAACTTGTTAATTATAGACGGTGTTGTGGCAAATTATTATTTTTACCGAGTACCGAATCAAAAGATTCGTTCTCCCGGTAGATCTCTCGAGGAAGACGGTTCGGAATTTAGCGTTGGTATTGATCACACACGAAAAGAAAATAAGTCCTAAATGTTCTAATTACGATTTCTTTGGATAATTAATTAAAACAAGCTAGTACTAAAAAATCAATTTAAAGAAATAACAATTAAATTTCTAGAGAAAAAAGAAGTTTTAGGGGTCGAGAAATCTCATCAAGTCTTAACCTATGTTGAACGTTTATTTGTTCGGCTACGAGATTTAACAAGCCTACACGTCTAGAGGGCTATGCTCAATAACTCTTCTCAACAAGAGCACATACATAAACGATAAACTCATTCAAACAAGCAACACATAGACAATACTTTTACGAACATGTCTACTCTATACGAGCCTAAATCGACCGACGTCTCCCTTCTCGGTTCAAAACTTCGATTAACTAGGTTAGAATGATGATCAATCAACTAACCATATAATTCACACAACTCGTATGGATTGACCAAAACACATTTTTTATAATTCAAAACAAGAATCAAAATCCCTAACCCTAGGTGTATGAATTACCTCATGCTTAGATTAAATTTTGTGTTAATTGGAATTAAGAATATTAAACCAATCAACAATAATAAAATAGAATTGAAATACTTACAATTGAATTAAGACTGACAATATTTCAATCCAAATGTCTTTGTGTCCAACAATCCAAGCATGAGAGAAAAAAAAAGAAAGCGGAGAAAATTATCCTAACAATATGGAATTTTTGGAGAGAAAACTTGAAGAAAACAATTTTGGTGATGGAATAATATGCCATAGGTTTAAAATCTGCTGCTAAAAACCCGCAGCTCAAAATTCGCGTCATTATGTCGCAAGTCGTGACTTCCCTATTTCCATGGTCGCGAGTCGCGACTTCCCTATTTCCATGGTCACGAGTCGTAACTTCATCATGAGTCGCGCGTTGTCCTTTTCTTCAAATTCTGGGGATAGTCGCGACATGTCTCGCGAGTCGCGACTCCATCTCGCGAACTGGGTAACAGTCTCTGAAACTCTCGCCAGTCGCGACCCTGACGTCGCGAGTCGCGAAAATCTGGGCTCTGGCCTGGGGCACGCGCGTCAGAGCCTGGGCGTGGGGCTTTCGCGGGCACAGTCGCAACTCGTGATCACTTTGACTGCACTGCGCCTCTTTACGTTTTGGCCTCGTTTGAGTTCGTTCGGACTCGGAATTGAGTGTCGTTTTTTCCTACGCGTCGCCAACGAACTCCTCCATTCAACTATGCTCTCGAAACCAATTTTTCATAAAGAAAAATTTCGACCGAAACTCCTGACCTATACACCAAAAATGACAAAACACAAAAGAAAACGGAAAAACAAACGAAAAATACCTGAAGACTCAAAATGAAGGAAAATCCATAGGAAACTAAAGAAACTACCTAAGACGGGCGAACAAAAAAGATAAAATAAACACGAAAAACGCAACAAAAATGCGACAAACAGACTGATTAAAAAATTTAATTCTATTTTGATAATATTTGATGTTGAATGAAATTAACCAGACAATATCACATCAATTAGGCTTGTTAGTATTTGCATCGTTCATAATGAGGTGTTATAAATCCAATCTAAATCTATCTTTCTTATGAAAAAAAAAAAAAATTGAAATGTTTTTCTTATTATATAATAAAAATAATCTTTCTGGACTGTACACTCTGCTGTTTTTCTTACGGCAGTTGCAAAAAAATTGACCGCGCGCTGGTGAAAAGGGCCAAAAAAAAGACTGTGACCAAGCGTCCAGGACGCAGCTCACGGACTAATCTCGGGGTGCTCCTATACTTTCATGCTCTTTATATATTTTGATATTTTACTTTTATTTTTTTCCATGTAAAAAGAATGTATTCGATCTTGTGTATATGCACAAATGCAAATAAAACTTTATACGTTATTTAGACATGTGTTATATGTGAAAGTAAAAAATATTAAGTAGATAAAATAAAATTTTATACACAAATGCAAATAAAATTTTATAAGGTAAAATACTTTTTCCCATCCGAAATATCACGGTTTTGGCGCATCACCATATAAACTATTTTTTTTTTAACAAACCACCATATGTACTATACGAGTTTGTCAATGTGCCATCTAAACCAGATATAAAAGTGGTTTTGACTGAAAAAGTTGTTTTGTCACCATATGTGCCCCCTAAGTACTTTTACAAACCACCATATGAACTATCACGGGTTTGTCAATGTGCCCCCTAAACCACTTTTATATCCGGTTTAGGGGCATATTGACAAACCCGTATAGTTCATATGGTGGTTTGTAAAAAAAAATAGTTTATATGGTGATGCGCCAAAACCGTGATAGTTCGGATGAGAAAGAGTATTTTATCCTATGTATGTTATTTATACAGTTTTGCTATGGAGCCTTCGGATGACTCGGCTTATGGAGCAATCCATACTTAATCACCAATAGTGCATTGACACGTGTCCTACAATAAATACAATTTAGACAGGTGTCACTATATTAAGTGATGGACCAATAGTGCATTGACACGTGTCCTACAATAGATACAATTTAGACAGGTGTCACTATATTAAGTGATGGATGGCTCCATAAGAAAACAATCCGATGGCTCCATAGAATTTTTGGTTATTTATATATGTGTTATATGTGAAAGTTAAAAATCATAAATTACATAATGAGCATATCTCATTTACAAATTTTATCATGATGACTAAAATGACGATATATATAAATCAGTGTTCTAAAAGTCGTTAGGAGTTAGTCAAATTGGTGTTCTAAAAGTCGCTAGGCGCTCTACCAACGCATAGACAGGGCTTTGGCGGCGTTTAGTCAGGGTCTAGAAATTAACTAAATACTTTATTTTTATTTATTTTTTTATTTTCACTAATTACTGAGTAAAACTGGCTTACCTTATAATAAATCCACAAACCTAAACGCAACTAATAATATTAATATATTTTCACATGAAAACAAAATAATATAATTAATATTAAAAAAACATAAAAACTGGAAAATTGTCGCAGAGCCCGCCTAGGTGCCGCCTAACCGCCTGGCCGTCGAGCCCACCAAGTCCGCCTAGGAGTGTCTAGGGCCGCCGAGGCGCCGCCTAACCGCCTGAGAAATTTTTTCGGTCGATTTGTGTCGGAGGCGGCCGGGCACCGCTTAAGCCAATTTTTAGAACAGTGATATAAATATAAATTATTTAACAACATATTAATCTTTAAATTTATGCAATCTTCGATAATTATGATAATTAATTGAATAAAAAAATATTGAAATTATTATTATAACAATTGTGCACAAAATTTTAAAGGGTTTGGTTATGCCGTAAAAAATAATTAACTAACTTTAACAAAAAAACTTGATTAATGCGGTGAAAAAAAAAATAAACAGTAATTTTAAATATATATTTTGAAAAGAAAGCTTTAAAATAAAATAACATTTAATGTCTTTCATTATTAGTTAATAATAGCAAACATGGCAAAAGGAAAGCAAAAGCGAAATTTTCTTATAAATTTCATCTTAATAATGTGAATTTATATACCCATTGACTGTGCAAAAGTAACAGATTGGAAAAAGGAATAAAACATAATAAATGACCGAATTTAAAACTTCATAGTATGAAAGAAGAAAATTGAAGGTTATGGCTTGTAACAAAATTTAGGGTCTGAATTCTATCGTATATTATTTGTGGGAAATGTAACGTAGTCAGAGTTTGTAACCGTTACATCATTATGTAACTGTCGGAGATAGATGATCTAATAATTATAAACTCCGACGAAATGGTTCCGTAATGGGACCTAGCATCTCCATTTATTTATAACAAAAAATGTATAATTATACAATAAAATGTCATATTTTTTTTATATATTGTATTTTATTGTTAACAGAAAATAAATATAAATAAATTAATTCGGCTAACGGCTTGGCTCTGGCTGCAACGAAACCTACGAAGCCGAAACGCAAGCCGCCTCAATCACGGGTGTTTTTGCTCAGTGTAACTGAAACAAATGTAAAATAATTTGCAGTTAAGTAAAACTTGGAGAAAATTTAGCCTCAGTCTTAGGTAGTTTGTGTGGCCTTACAAAAGTTCAAAATACCACAAAATCTCCTTTTTTACATTTTTTACTTCCTTTTTGTTACCCCATTTTCATACGTTATTATACATGCTCATTAACTAACTAATAAATAAAGGAGATGTTACAGTCCGGTGACGGAATCGTTCTGTCGGGATTTGTAACCGTTAGATCGTCATGTAATCATCGTGAATAGCTGATCTAACGGTTATAAACCCCGACAAAATGGTTCCGTAACGGGACCGTAGAATTTCTCAGAGAAAACCCTCGTAAGTAATAGTAAATAAACCACAACTTGTTAAAATTTACAGAGACATGATATGATATAAGAAATAAAAACCTCTCATCTTTACTGTGTTCTTCGATCTCTCTCTCTATATAAGAAATCCCACTTCTCAAGATTTTCTTACACTGACCATTACCACTCACATTCACATTCAAAGCCACTCTCACCATTGTTTCTGTTTTATTTTTTTTTTTATTTTTTCCTTAAATCTTTGAAGGGAGGCCATTGTTTGTAAGTAACAAAAGAAACTCAAATGGCCCATACAAAATCCCCTGTTTTCCCCTGTTTCATAATCCTCTGCATTGCCCTGTCGTGCTCCGGGCCGGTTTCGGCCCAGACGGGACCCGCCTACGCCTGTGACGTGGCGAGAAATCCTGAGCTGAAGAACTTCAGCTTCTGCGACGCGTCGTTGGGCGTGAAGGCCCGGGTGAAGGATCTCGTCGGCCGGCTGACTCTGCAAGAGAAAATCGGGTGGCTCGTGAGTGGGGCCCGAGGGGTTAGCCGGCTCGGGATCCCGAATTACGAGTGGTGGTCGGAGGCGCTGCACGGTGTTTCGGACACCGGGGTGGGGGTCAAGTTCAGGGAGCCCGTGCCGGGAGCCACGAGCTTCCCGCAGGTCATTCTCACGGCGGCTACGTTCAACGTGTCGCTTTTCGAAACCATTGCAAAGGTAATGCTTTTCATTTTTTTCTAGATGGCCAATTTCCCTTCTGGCAAAAGTTTGGTATATTTCTCCTTCACTGCAATTTCACCATTACAGCAAAGTCTTAATGCTTTAGCTTCTTTAGTAAAGGAATTAATTAACACAGTGCCATAAATCCTATTCAGATTAACTGTCACAGTTGTTCTTAGAAAATGGTACATTTATAGAAAATTCAAGCTGTCAATGTATGAGATAACAACCAGCGTCAGCAAATCGACCGAGATCTTATATTTTTTCCCATTCAATGTAGGTTGTTTCGACCGAGGCACGAGCAATGTACAATGCTGGTCAAGCCGGTTTGACATTTTGGTCCCCGAACGTGAACATATTCCGTGACCCCAGGTGGGGCCGGGGCCAAGAAACACCAGGTGAGGACCCTTTGCTCTCGAGCAGATATGGCGCGGCCTATGTGAGAGGCTTGCAAGAAACAGACGATAATGACAAGGACAGACTCAAGGTTGCTGCTTGCTGTAAACACTACACAGCTTACGATTTGGATAATTGGGCTGGAGTCCACAGGTTCACTTTCAATGCCGTGGTATGGTTTGGTTTGGTTTGGTTTGGTTTAGCCTCGAGTTTATCTTTTTCTTTTTCGTATTTTTTATTCGTGTATTATCAGTAAATTTGAAATTTTTCTATTGATGAGTTTAGGTAACAAAGCAGGATTTGGATGATACATATCAGCCACCATTCAAGAGCTGTGTGCTAGACGGGAATGTGGCTAGCGTGATGTGCTCGTATAATCAAGTCAATGGCAAGCCGACATGCGGCGATCCCAATCTACTGGCGGGTGTGATTCGGGACGAATGGAATTTGAATGGGTATATATATAGTTTTGCACTTTTTTTTTGTTTTTTTTTTTCAAGAGAAGAAATATGATGGCATACGCATAGATATATTTGTCGCTCGTTTTTTACCGATTGATGCAGGTACATTGTTTCGGATTGCGACTCGTTGGATGTGATGTTCGGTCACCAACATTTTACCAAGACCCCGGAGGAGACAGCTGCTTTGGCTGTGAACTCTGGTGGGATAAATGCATTCTTTATAACCTGAAAGAACCATAAAAGAAATGACAACTAAATGATGATTTTCTTCAAACTCAGGGTTGGATCTCAACTGTGGATCTTTTCTATTCAACAATGCCCAAGCCGCAGTCGACCGAGGGCTCCTCAAAGAAAAAGACATCAACCGGGCCATCACGAACAATTTCGCGACCATGATGAGGCTGGGATTCTTTGACGGCGATCCCACCAAACAGGCCTATGGAAATCTTGGACCCAAGGACGTGTGCACCTCGTCCAACCAGGAACTCGCGCGTGAGGCAGCCCGACAGGGGATTGTACTTCTCAAGAACACGGAAGGCTCGTTGCCCTTATCCCCCGCCACTATCAAATCCTTGGCCGTGATCGGGCCAAATGCCAACGCCACAGAACCCATGATTGGAATCTATGCTGGTATAACCATGCTACATTGGCAATTGGGACATTTATTTATTTATTTATTGTTGTAATTAAACTATAACTATTTTTGCAGGCAAGCCATGCAAATACACGACGCCATTGCAGGGCCTGACGGCCTCAGTCCCCACTGTCTACCACCGAGGCTGCGCTGACGTGGCGTGTGCTGCCCCTGAGCACGATGACGCCAGCAAAATAGCATCAGAGGCCGATGCCGTGGTTCTGGTGATGGGAACCGATCAATCGATCGAGAAGGAGGATTTGGACCGGTCGAGCATAACCCTCCCCGGACGGCAGCAGCTTTTGGTGACCGAGGTTGCACGGGCTTCCTGTGGGCCTGTCATCCTCGTCATCATGTCTGGTGGAGGCATGGACGTCCAGTTCGCAAAAGACGATCCGAAGATCACCAGCATTCTTTGGGTCGGGTTCCCGGGTCAGGCCGGTGGGGCCGCGCTTGCTGATGTGGTGTTTGGATATCACAATCCGAGTAAGTCAAGTGTGTTTTGTGGTTGTTTCGTAATCTCGCGAAATCTCTGGGGTCGTTTTCGTAATTTTTCATGGCTTCGTAACTATTCAGGTGGAAGGCTGCCGATGACGTGGTACCCGCAGTCTTACGCGGATAGTGTCAAAATGTCGGACATGAACATGAGGCCCGACCCGGACAGGGGGTATCCCGGGCGGACGTATCGATTCTACGCGGGCCCCACGGTGTTCTCATTCGGGGATGGGATCGGGTACACGGAGTTCCGCCACGAAGTGGTGAAGGCCCCGACGCTCGTGTCCGCTTCGCTCGGAGAAAAGCACGTGTGCCGGACTTCGACGTGCAAGTCGTTTGACGCGAGTAAGGATTGTAAGGATGTGGGGTTCGAGGTTCATCTCGGGGTGAAGAATGTGGGGAGAGTGAGCGGGACGGAGACCGTGCTGCTGTTCTCGAGTCCACCGGACGTGCACGGGGCGCCACGGAAGCATCTGGTGGGGTTCGAGAAGGTGCGGCTGGGCCCACAGGAGGCGGGTGTGGTGAGGTTTGGGGTGGATGTGTGCAAACATTTGAGTTTGGTGGATGAAGAAGGGAATAGGAGGGTGGCTTTGGGGGAGCATGTTCTTCATGTGGGAGATTTGACACATTCCTTGACTGTGAGGGTTTGAAGAAATTTTCATGGTTATTTTATTTTTTCTTTTCTTTCTTTCTTTGATTTATGTGTGAACCCTTCTCCTTTTGCCAACCGTTTTGGGTCTGGAGATATATATTTCTAATTTTCAAAGAATGGAAACCAACCGCACAACATATCAACAAAGTATAAACTCCAAGAATTCAATAATTGAACAAAGTTTATACACATGAAACAAGTACTCTAAGATGAAATTACCTAGTCATAATACTCATATGGGATACTATTCAAGGTCGACTGGACCCGAGAAACTACAGAATTGAACCGAGCGAACTATCAGGTCGAATGGAGATCGAAGACTTCACAGATCGAAGGATCTTTAGGTCGAAGAGGACGTTAAGGATACAAGGAGCACCGATAAGTCGAATTAGGGCCCTCGATGGCCTGATTGAAATTCGACCAGATCACAAGCAGAACATTAGAGCTCGATATTAGTGGTACTCTCCCTCAAGGTAATCGAGATCGGTCGCATGATTAGACCGCCTAATAAGGAAGACTAGATGATAAGAAAGAATATTATTGGGATTAAACCGCATAGTATCATTCACTTTTTCATGCTCCACAAAAATCCACACAAGTCTGTTTTGATAAATTAAATTCACCATTCTAACTACATCATTGTCACTTTCCATGCCTATAATGTGTTTTAATCATTAACCTCTCTTGTTATATAGTGAAAACCGACAATCTCTTTCATTATCCATTTTTCTTTAGCTGTAGAACTTAATTCAAGTAGTGATAATCCATCAGGGTGACAATAATCTACATGGGACACTTTGGCATCATAATAGCAACATTAAAATGGAACAAGATTTGCATACCGTATTTGGAACATTCTTTTTCCAGTGGGACAAACTGGTCCCTATTTTTCCGCACCTTCCAAATCATGTTCGAAGAATCTTTGAGACATGAGAATCTTTACCTCGTAAATCTCAAATTTTCTGGGGGAAACAGTGAAAAGGTGGACAATATTTAGAAATGAAAATGTCGATTAGGGTTAAAAAATTTATTAATGTCGATTTCATCAGTTTTTGCTTTTTATATTCAAACATGAAATGTTTTAAATACCGTACCGTACCGACTAGTATTACCGGTAATACCGAGGTAAAACTGGTTGAACCACATACTGTTGGCTCGTCCAGTATGATTATCGGCACGGTATTTGAAACACTACAAACAGGTACATGAAGGGACGAATTTACCCTAAACAAGTTTGACATGTGTTGCACTCGCGCACTCTTCGGTGCAAAAATTGATCGGAATCGTGTATTAGAGTGTAACTTATCTGTTCCGATTATTGTGTGAGACAAAGTGTCAACTGAAAATGTTCATAACACAAACTCTAAAATTGGTCATACACAAATAGGTAAAATAATTCCTATTATATTGTTTGGTCAACCCTCTAATGTTTTTAAATAAAAATAATCAGTTTGTTAATTCTATACTACTTTAAAAGGAGGAGTGTTTTTTTAAAAATTCATAATGCATAAAAAACCCTTACTTTACATAAATTTAATGGCAAATTAGTAATACACTAATACACATCATATTTTATTTATATTTTTAATAAAAAATGAATTACCTAAAAAACCCTTACTTTCACATGTTTTTAATGGCAAATTGGTAATATACTAATGTCATCATATCTTATATCCTCCCTATATATAATTAAAAAAAAAACATAACTTTTATCAATTCAATATAAGCAAATCAATGAAAATAATATATTTTTAAAAATTTTATGAACAAAAGTTGACTCGACAATATTAATGAATTTATGAATTGTAAATATTTAATTAAAATATTAATTAAAAAACTTTGATTATATATAATATAATATAGAATATACAAATATTTGATATATAATGAGGTAGATGATCAAAAAAATTCTATACTTTATATTATGTCTTTTTTGACAAATCTACAGTTAAGAACATGTGAAAGAACAAGATAAAGTTTTAAAAAATATTAAATATAAGAAATAATATGAATAATAACTAAGTTGTGACACGTACGAATAAATATAAAAAAAACTAATAAACAAAAATAATATAATTAATATAACTAAATATAAACCATCTTAAAATATACTTGTCGATGTAATCGAACTGAGTTGTTAAACGCTTGTTAGTTTTTTGTTCTAATTAATTTTATGTGTAAATTTGAGGTGATAGACAATAGTTATTTGTACATTTATACATGTAGATTAGAAAAAAAAAAATCTTTATTATTCTAATTTTAAATAACTTTTTTATTTACTATATTAATTTTTTAAATATAATATATAAGTATCATATTGAACAGATAAAACAAGAAATATTTTAATTATATAATATTTAATATGTAATAAATGTAACTCAATTGGTAAATTAATAGGTAATCTTGGGAATAATGAGTGATTTCTGAAAAAAAAAAAATTATATGGACTAAAAAGTTCACGTGTTTAATATATTTTTAATTGAAAAATTGTAAGCACAATTATTCAATAAATACTACATAAAAAATATAAGAAATCTTATATCTTCCAAATATATAATTAAAAAACATAACTTTTTTCAATTCAACATAAGCAAATCAATGAAAATAATATATTTTTAAAAATTTTATGAACAAAAGTTGACTCAACAATATTATTAATAAATTTATGAATTGTAAATATTTAATTAAATTATTAATTAAAAATTGTAATTAAATATAATATAATATAGGATATACAAATATTTGATATATAATGAGGCACATGATCGAAAAAATTCTATGCTTTATATTATGTATTTTTTGAAAAATCTACAATTAAAAACATGTGAAAGAACAAGATAAAGTTTTAAAAAAATATTAAATATAAGAAATAATATGAAAAATAACTAAGTTGTGACACGTACTAATAAATATAAAACAAACTAATAAACAAAAATAATATAATTAATATAACTAAATATAAACCTTCTAAAAATATACTTATCGATGTAATCGAGCTGAGTTGTTAAACGCTTGTTAGTTTTTTTTTTCTTATTAATTTTATGTGTATATTTGAGGTGATAGACAATAGTTATTTGTACATTTATACATATAGATTAAAAAAATCTTTATTATTCTAATTTTAAATAACTTTTTTATTTACTATATTAGTTTTCTTGATATAATCTACAAGTATCATATTGAACAGATAAAACAATAAATATTTTAATTATTAAATATTTAATATGTAAGAATTGTAACTCAATTGGTAAATTAATAAGTAATCTTAGGATAAAATAATGAGTGATTTATGAAAAAAATTTATAGGAACTAAAAAATTCACGTGTTTAATATATTTTTAATAGAAAAATTGTAAACACAATTACTCAATAAATACTATATAAAAAATATAAGAAATCTTATATCCTCCCTATTGTAATTAAAAAACATAACTTTTCTCAATTCAACATAAGCAAATCAATGAAAATAATATATTTTTAAAAATATTATGAACAACAGTTGACTCGACTATATTATTAATGAATTTATGAATTGTAAATATTTAATTAAAATATTAATTAAAAAATTGTAATTACATATAATATAATATATGATATACGAATATTTGATATATAATGAGGCAGATGATCGAAAAAATTTTATACTTCATATTATGTCTTTTTTGACAAATCTACAGTTAAGAACATGTGAAAGAACAAGATAAAGGTTTAAAAAAAATATTAAATATAAAAAATAATATGAATAATAACTAAGTTGTGACACTTACTAATAAATATAAAACACAACTAATAAACAAAAATAATATAATTAATATAACTAAATATAAACCTTCTAAAAATATACTTATCGATGTAATTGAACAGGTGATAGACAATATTTATTTATACATTTATACATGTAGATTAGAAAAAAAAAAAAATCTTTATTATTCTAATTTTAAATAACTTTTTTTTTTACTATATTAGTTTTTTTAATTTAATATATAAGTATCATATTGAACAGATAAAACAAAAAATATTTTAATTATATAATATTTAATATTTAATATGCACGAAATGTAACTCAATTGGTAAATTAATAGGTAATCTTGGGATAAAATAATGAGTGATTTCTGAAAATATATATATATATATATAAGAACTAAAAAGTTAACGTGTAATAATATATTATTAATAGAAAAATTGTAAACACAATTACTCAATAAATACTACATAAAAAATATAAGAAATCTTATATCCTACCTATATATAATTTAATACAAGTCTCACACCCTGCCCGGCTGGAATTCGCCTTAAGCTTGCTCTCCTCGCCGGTTGGACGCGGAACCTGCACGAAACTCCCACACCGGAGGTGTTTTCCGGTGAAGAGCCTCCAACGCTCAAGTCAGATCTTGAGAGATAATATGAGTGTATAGATAGATGTAAAGTATATCAGATTGAATCGAAAATGAGGATTCTCGCCCTTATTTATAAGGGCGAGTTACCTGTATTGCACGCGCGAGGCGAGTGCGTTCGTCTAACCGTCCTCTGCTTGTCCGTACGGTCGCGCGCCTCCACTATCCATGATGTCAGAGAACGCGTCGCCTTTGTCAGAGAATGTCAGAGTCGGTTACGACTGTTGACCACTCACGATGCGCCGCGTGTCCTTCTCCTCATGTGCTGGAGATTCCTCCATGTGCTCCGATGCTCTACCAGTTATGTGCGTCTATGTCTCCTCGATCGCCCTTTCTCGACCATGTGCTCAGCTGACTTGTATCTGTCGACCACCTCTGCTCTCCTTTACTGTCATCATCTGCTCGATGTTCTAATGGCCGGTGTATGGTCCTGTTCGACTATACCATTCGACCTTATCCTTACTAGACCGTTCAACAAATCGGTCGGTCTCCTTTGATTAGCCCTATAAACCGGTCCAGTATATAATATCCCATATCATCTAGTCCCCCCACTCTGGTCGAGTCTGAACGACTCGATCTAAGAGTAAGTTTTGGTCTGTGCCGAG